CGATGGAGCTGACATCCTAGAACCAGGCCAGTTGAGCAATGAAGAACTTCACTGTTATTCCAGGCCCACACTAAATGTTACCCCCCACCCCATGCAAGGCTACTGGTTCACTATGTCAGAAAACCGGTCTCAGATCGAAGAAGTGAGCTCCTTAATGTCCATCGCAACCCTAGGCTTTGCAACCCTCACTTTCGGAGGCACTGAGAGAGAGTGGCTGGGGCTGTAGGGCATTTAGATGCCAACCCATTTACCCATCCAGCCATGATGAGCACAGTGGCCCTAGCACCTTCCCCTGTATCTAGCAGCAAGTGAACAGAGAAGTAGGAGGCACCACCCTCTAGGAGCAGTGATTTCCCCTGCCCTAGGCAGGCTGCTTGTCACATGGTGAGAACGCACGCAACTAGAAACAAAGATGCATGCAGGGGAGAAGTACAAGAAATCCCACAGAGAAGGCACAGGCAAAGCCAAAGAGGGCCATAGAAGCAGCAACTTTGAGCAAAGAGATTTCATCTACCAATAAAGAGGGCCCCCAAATGGCAGGCTATCACCAATCCTGTTAGCTATTTCTTTGTTCTCCTCCTCCTCCTCCTGCCTCCAATTTGGCCTTCCTTTCCCATTCCTCCCTCCCTTCCTTTGAGAAAGGAGCATGAGGATGGGGGTGGGGGGGACTAGAATATAACCTAAAAATGTTTCCTCCAATAAAGGTGCCTTGGAGGAGTGGCTGATTCCAGACTGGAAGCAAGGAATATTCATGATGAGTCATGATATCTTCAGCCAGAAAGCAAAGAAGTTATCACAACAAATGAGTCATATCAAAAGGACACAGAAGTTAACATGAAAGACTCCCCTTAGCCAAAGATGAGAAAATTTGAGCACACAAAAGAATAATGATGAAAATTACTTGAAATACAAACATCTATATGTAAACCCATGTGTTCGTAGTGATACTTAATGAAAGCCATCCCCCCCCACACACAAAAGATGTCTTTGGGACACCATTAGAAGTGTTTAGTGTACTAATGCCCTATATTAAAAAGGAAAGAAAAGAATTAACATTCATTCTGCCTTTCTGGCAGATCAGTGTGCACATCAGAATAAAAAGCACTGAAGAGAGGAGAGTTCTTTATGAAAGAATTCTAGCTAACAAATACAGAAGATATTATAGGATTAGAAAAAGACTATCACTCTGTAACCCCTAATGAAATTATTCAGACAGTGGTCATCAATGGTCAAAAACATTTAGATGAGAGGTTGATGGGGAGCCTTACAATGAAGGCATTAAGCTGTCCTCCCCTGGACCCACCCAAAGTGGAACAACTAGACATTGAATCATGTGATGTCATAGGGAGCACCCTGTCACATCTGTGATCCATTCACATCCCTCTCCACAAAGCTGACTCTGACTCCAGTCAAGGACCCATGGTCACTTCCACGTAGAGGGACACAAGGACTGGAAGAACACAGTGCAGGACAAATACAGTTCCCGCAATGAATCAGCAGCATGCTGCCATGCTCTAGACAAGAGGACATGGAGAAACCTCATGCTACTGTGTTGACCTTGTTGGGATACTGATCTGAAAAAAACAACTCTAACAACCACTTTTGAGACAATCAGGGACGTTTCAGTATGGACTAGGTATTGGAGGATATCAGGGAACAGGGCGAATTTGTGAATGAATTCGTACATCCAAGGTATGTAAAAAGAGTGATCTTTCTTTTTTAGAGAGTCATCCTGAGGTATGTAGGAGTGAAATGACTTAAGGACTGGCATTTGCCTTAAAATAATCCCCCAAAGAAGAAGAAAGAAGGGGGGGTGGAGCCTGTGGGGCAAGCTCTTGATGGTTTTTGGATCTGGGAGTTGAGCACATGGGGAATCGTTGTTTGTTCTAGCCTCTCTGCTCTTGAATACATTTTGAATGTTTTTCATTAAAAAATAGCTTTCTCCTAACTAAACTTACTGTGGTCATGATTTTGCAATATATATATGTCAAATCATGATGCGGTCTACCTTAAGCTTATACAGAGCTGTATGTCAGTTATATCTCAACAAAACTGGACGTTAAAAAATTTTTCTAAATAGTCCTCTCCAATAACCACCCGCCCCGCCTTAGGAAAGGGGCAGGACTCTTCCTGTCCCGTGGCCTGAGGCCAAATCATAACTAGAGAGGAACCTCAAAATTCTTCTCTATAACGAGTGCTTATTAATCAACCACCTTCTAGATATAGAGAAGGTGTGCCGTGGGAATATCTGAGCTTCTCAGCCACTACCACTTGGGTTTGAACCACTTCTCCGTGGAGAAGTTTCTAACCCTCCATGAGCTTTCATATCCCTGAGCTTCCTCAGCCCTTAGGCAGGGCCGGCTTGGCTGCGATGTTTCACCTCGATGACCACACGGTGGCGCCGTTGGAGCTTCGTACTGGCCCGGGCCCCGGGCCCCAGCCCCCATCCTGGGGGAGCCTTGAGAATTCCCGGCAGAGCCCTGGGGCGGGAGAGGGTGGGGCGCCGCTTGAATTAAATCCCACTTGGTTCAAGCTCACAGCACATCTTGGCCAGTTCGAACTGGCTTATAATTTCAACCACAAACCATAAGAGATGCTGGACTTTATAGGAAGCAAACAGGGTTGCTGGAGGGGAGGTGGCGGGGCGGGGGGTGGGGGGAGTGGAATGGGGTAACTGGTTGACGGGCATTAAGGAAGGCACTGGGTGTTAGATACAACTGATGAATCACTAAACTCTACCTCCAAAACTAATTTTTAAGAAAAAGTTTGTCAACAAAACAAAACAAAACAAAACAAAAAACTAGTCATTTCATTATTTGACAAGCACTAACCCTACTATGTGGCAGACATCATTTTAGGGATTCAGGGTATCAGTGAACTAAGCAAAGATTCTTTCCTCACCTCAAGGAGCTTGGGATCTGGGTGCCTCTTCCACATACTCTCTAAGACCATCTGAGCCCAGATCACCAAAAGACTCCTCCTCCCCTCCTGAGTTTTGGTGGGGAGGGAATGCTCTCACTCATGCAGTTTGAACCTACATCTCTCCTCATGCGTTATCACAGTCCATGTCGCATGGGGGGATGGGTTTTACTAAGCGACACACACATACACACATTTACACACACAATGACGGAATGAGCCTGCAAAGAGTATCATCCCATTAAACGTTAGTTCCCTTGATTCGTCTTTTCAGAGCATGTGATAGCCCCCTTGTGTGCCCAGAGCCACACCCAGCCAGGGATACCCAGCGATCTGCAGTGGCCAAGTCAGTGAGTCAGGGCAAGGTCTGAGACTTGGCATTTTAACATGCTCCTGAGAGATGGTGCTGTTTCTGGACCTCACTTGAACTTGCAAAGCACATTTTTTTTCCTCTTAAAGCAAAGTTGCAACAGACTTGTGGCCCGTTTCCTTCTAGTGCCCTTGTAGGAAAGAGGCAGGTGGCAGTAGAACATTTATATATCTTAATTCATAGGCTCTAAGGGGCCATGGATTATGAAACACACCTGATTTCAGAGATTTTAAAATATGAAAAATAAAGCATATCTTAGAACCTAGAAAATAAAGCATTTTGAGTGGCAATAGTGTAGAATGGTTAAGTGTTTAGTGTCTGGAATCAGACAAACAGGGGCCCCACTGTTTGTTACCTTTATGACCTTGGGCAAATGACTTAACCTCTGTAAAACTGAATTTCCTCACCTCTAGTATGGCAATAACCACAAGGGCTGCCTGGTGAGTAGTATAGACTCGGCCAGCTTGATATTTTAGCTCTTAGCCTAGCAAAATTAAAAAAAAAAAACCACTAACACCATTTTTTGTAGTTCCTTCAATATTCTCTACTTCTCTGAAATAAAATATCTGGGTATAAAAAATGGACCTATTTTATCTTTACCTTTGGCCCTCTGGAGCCCTGAAGTTTTTACTATTTTACAAGAAAATATTCATGTAGTTGGGTGAAAATAAAATCCTTTTTTAAAAGCAATTAGAGTAAAACAATGTATCAGCCCAGATCAGTACTTGAAGAGGGTATCTGTTTGTATGGAGGGCATCAGGCAAAACCTAGTGACATCAGTAACCAGCTTAAGACATTAAATGAGCACCAAGTGCTTCATATGCCTCCTGGCAGGGCCCGGCCAGCAGGTGATCTGTAAATATTACACAGAAACGTGTTTGCCTCTGGAAGGCAGCCTTTTCTCTCTCTCATTCACTGCTGTCCCCCAGCACCCAGAGCCGTCCTTAGAACAGGGTAGGGACTCAGTCCACAGTTGGTGAATGTTTGCATGATTGGCTGAATGTCTGAGCCTCAGACTAACTCTTCCAGGTGGTCAGATGGGAGGCACGAGGATCAGGGGAAGCCTTGGCTGGCAGGTGGCCATAGGAGCGGAGGGCACCAGTGAGGCCCATAGCCAAGAAGGGTGAAGGACTTGAGTTGCTAAACCAAAGCCTGGTTGCTAGTCAAGCCGGACCCCAGAGCAACATGTTGGTTACAAGAACACTTTCAGGTGTTTTAACTCCGTTTGCTGTCAGTACTGACATTCTCATTGGAATACCATAACAAATAAAATGATGGACTCCAGGCTGGCATTTGCTCAAAGGAAGGTGATATGCTGAGCACTGTACCCAGAGCAGCATCAGGCAGGGTGGGCAGGAAGGAAGGGCCTTTGGCTTTGTCCTGACACCCAGCAGGTGCAATGGGGCTGCTACTGGCTGCTTCGGACAGCAGCATGCCGCTCCAAGGAAACAGAGAAGTACACCTGCCCGGGGTGGGCGTGGGGCGGGGACAGGGGAACAGCTTTTTCCCTTCTCCTTCCTTCTCAGTTCTGGGTGGGACTTTACAAATTCCAAGCCTGTTCTCCGAGAAGGGAAAAAGGAGCTGCCTAATACATTACAAGTCTGTGATGTTACTGAATAAATTAATTTGTAAAGATTGCTGGACAAGAAGTTTCACACACAAAAGTCTGCAGCCACGCTGAATGCGTCCTTTCCATGCTCTCACTTTCCAGGTGACCCTGTACAAGAGCTCTGATATGGAGGACTTTGGGTTCAGCGTCGCAGATGGCTTGCTGGAAAAAGGAGTGTATGTCAAAAATATTCGCCCAGCTGGGCCAGGAGATCTTGGTGGCTTAAAGCCCTATGATAGACTCTTACAGGTAAGACCGCAGGTGACCTTTTTGCTTAATTTCACTTCTCAAAGTCTTACTTGATCGATACCTACCCATCTTTCTTGGCCTCAAGATGAGATTAGGGGCCCTTCCTATATGGGGTAGAAACTTTCTCCTTATGTAGAATTTACCAGTTATCAAAATTGTCTGGTTCCCTGTATATGTTCCCCAGCAGATTATAAACTTCTTGAGAACTTATGCTCCCATTTCCCCTTATACAGTACTTGATATCTCACTGTCTCACACAATTTCTCTGAAAGCGAAAAGCCAGATCTTGTTTAGTGAGCAGAATGCTGTCATGGTCAGGAAAAATTTCAGTGAACCAAGCCCATCCCTGATTTTATTCACAGTTTTTAGGAATAGCATTTTGTAGGCAAAAGAGAAGGGTGACATCAGTCTTGAGAGTGTGTTTAGCTGGAATGAGTCTAGAACCAAAGAGTTGACTTTCAGAGCACGAGGCTGTACTGAGGGCGGTTGGCTTTCCAACACGTGTTCACTAAGGCACGTTATCATTGATCAGTTAGGTAGTTTTAAAACAAATTCTGGTTATTTTTTACAATGGCAGCAGAACAGTTGGTCTTATCTTGGCATTATGGGATGCTTTCATTTTTCACAGATACTCTAATATTTGTTGAATTAATAAATATTTGCTGAATTAATGGTTACTTGACCACTATGTGGCTCTTCCCAATCGCTAAATTGGGGATGTGCTGTCCCTCCTTCCATAGACAGTGAGACTATTAAAAAGTAGATTCAGACTGTGAGGGCCTTGAATGCCATGAGAAAGCTCTTGGACTTAACCCTCAAGGATATCAACTTCTTAAGCAGAATAATGACATCGTTCGTAATTGAGAGCGACAGTAGAATAATACTATAGGTGGACTGGAGTAGAATGGGGAGAGGGGAGACCGCAGGGAAGGAGACCAGATGCCTGTGTCAGACCTGAGTCCTTTTTCCTTCAATACATCCTGGCAGAGCAGCCTCGGGGGCAGGGGACAGTTTGGAGCCATTGCTCAGAAGAGCTGTTAGAGCCCAGCAGAGATGTTAGAGCCAGAATTAGGAGATTGAGGACACTGAAGGCATGTGTTTGGATACAGTTACCTATGGTGGGCTTACAGTAAGAAAAAGGAGAGAATCAAGGCTAGAATCCTGAGAAGAACAAATTTGAAGGACAGGGAGAGATAAAGGCAGGAAAGAACTGAACGTGAATCAGAATGGTAAGGAGATCAAAACAAAGTGGTGTCACAGAGTGCCAAGGAAGGAGTTTTCAGGTGAGTGGCCGTGAAGTGTGGCCAGTGCTAAAGGCCAAAGCGGACGAGACCTGGAGACACCATTCGGATATTGGACATTTGGGGTCAGTGGTACAGTATAAGTGTCAGGTTCCAGACGTGAGAAGATTGAGTGTGAAAGGCAAAGAGTGGAAGCAGCTTGTAGATGGGTTGAAACCCCTTGCTGGCGAAGAGTAAGGAGAAATGAAAGACGAGCACATGTACGAGCTGAGGACGGGGATGGGCTCACTTGCGAGAGGCAGTTCAACATCACGGTCAAGAGCATGACTTTGGAGTCAGCCAGACTGCCTGGGAGCCCATCCAAGCTGGGCCACTTAACAACCGCTGTTCCGAGACAAATCTCTTCACCACTCTGACTCACTTACCTCATCTGGAATCTGGGGGCAACGTTCAGCCCTTGGAGCATGAGCAAGGCAGCCTGCCCAGAATGGGGATGTTGGGAGGTGTCCCTGTTCCCAGCTCTCAAAGGCTTTACGATTTAGTAGCAAAGAATAAGTCAGCCAATGGCCACCTCCTCGTGTGGTCAGAGAAGGGATAGACCTCTCAGCACAGGCTGCTCCTTTAGGCACCTTCAGGGAACTTGTTACACGGGAAGTGTTACTCGGTGTGGAGAATTACAACTGTAATTCAAAATGGCTCTTCTTGATTTTTCAGGTTAATCATGTCCGAACGAGAGACTTTGACTGCTGCCTTGTTGTGCCCCTCATAGCAGAATCTGGTAATAAGCTGGACTTGGTTATTAGTAGAAACCCACTGGCTTCACAGAAGTCTATAGAACAGACTCTACCGGGAGGAGAATGGAGTGAACAGAACAGTGCTTTTTTCCAACAGCCTAGTCATGGTGGTAATTTGGAGATACGAGAACCCACTAACACATTATAGCAATGCTTTTTATAAAGCAGGACAAAAGACAATATCTACATGGTGCTAAAAAAAATCCCTTTGAGATTTCTGTGGCATTTAAAGCACAGATATCACGTGGCATTAACCGCAAGCACAGGGGTCTTTTAAATCTCTCTCATGGCTCATGTTCACTTCCCCTTTCAAGCTGAAGAGGTTTCTTTCTTAGTGACCGCTGTGGTAGATGGCAGGCCGTTCCCTGCCAGGCCCAATGTAGAGAAAAGGAAAACTACATAGGCCGCCCCTTCCCCCCCAATTAACATCAGAGGAAGTTTTTTACAAGTTCATCTTCCAGTCACTTTTTAAAAAGAGAAACGTCTGTTTGAAAATATTCTCTATGACAATTTCCTTAATTCACTTTGAAATCGCAGTTTCTTACTATGAAGCCGTCAGCGTTAAGAACCTGACCAACAAGGCTTGTCACAAAGCTGGCTCTCCTAGGGGAACTGGAGTTTGAGACGTGGCTGGGACTGCTGCCATGGGAGGGGTCCAGGTGTAACATTATTTGAAACGTTTCAGCGATGATGCACGTAGGAGACCATAATAGGTGGTGGTAAATGTTTTGCCCCAATATAGGAATGATTTTAACTAAGATGTATGCTATTCCCTATGCAACAAATTAACAAACAGGATATGTCTTGTGACCTGTTTCTTTCTTTTTTTTTTTTAAGGACACACTTTTAATAGCTGCAAATCTCTGATAATGGATTAGCGTGCTTAGTAACATTGAGAAGTAGTTATTTTTAAACCTCCAGACTAAGAATTTAAGAGAGAATGAAGAGTCTATTACAGTGAGGTTTATCTTAATGATAGGCAGATCAAACTCATCTTGCTTGCCATGTTTTGAAAACTGGTTATAGAGGGGTGGACAGCACATGTACGTTTGAGATGACACTGGACTGTCTTTTGTTCTGAGCCATGCTACTTTACTGAAATTGTAAATACATTTTTCACGACAATGCATTGCCAATTATTACCGTCCCTCAAAGCAATAAACTGTGACAGTTGCTTTTAAGATGTTCGTCAGCAACTGTTCTCATTCGTTCAGATCTTTTGAATAGTTACGCTAATAACTGTTATTTGGTGAATATTTAAAAAAAAATAGATCTGTATATTGATTGTAGAATCTCCATATTGAAATGATTATTTTCCAAACATTTTCATTTTGGTCAATGGTTCCAACAACTGCTTAGGTAAAGCATTTGAACACTGTGTCCTTTGTTTAAGGAGAAAGCTCACCTTTCTTTTTGTGCAGAGAAATATATTATTTCGGACATATTTCACAACCCGCCAGGGCAAGAGAGTATAAAGCAGAATCATGTTAAGAGAAAAAGAAGATCATGAGTCACTTAAATATGTATTTTTATTTGTAACAAACAAGTATTAAGCTGTAAAGTATTTTTGTACAAATTTAATACTTTAATAGCATGGTATTTATCGTCTATGTATGGTTTTGGGGAATTCAAAATTGTTGCAAATATTTGTATGGAAAAAAAAATACTCTACCAAATGGAATAAACAGTGATTTTAAAAAGTCAAAATTATGACAAGCAGTTTTTTGGGTACTTTGATTATATTTTAGTATTCTGGATGAGCCCTACACAATGCTTACTGTACAGAATTTTCTAAAGAGGAAAGGTTTTGCCATCAATTTGAAAAGCAGCATGGAAGAATGGGAAGAGCATGGCTTTTAAAATCAGATCTCAGTTTGAATTCTAGCTCTGGTACTCATTCATAAAAGTTAGTTAATGTGAGTCAGTTTCCCCACCCATGGTACTGAAGGTCATATCTGCACCCCAGGACTGCTATAAGGACAAGATGTCAAAGATATGTTTAAGTCCCAAAACAGCCTGCAGACAGAGACCCTCTCAGACTAATGATACATTTATTTTAGGTAAAAAAGACAGGTTTTAATTCAAGGATCATAATAGCACCTGCCCTCAGAGAACATTATATGTATTCTATGAAATACATTTATATCAACTATTGAAATATACAAAATTTAATGTACGCCATCTTTAAAAAGAAATCTACACTGTAGTCCCAACATTTTCATTTTTGCAGACTATCTTGCAGGCCTTGTAAATTGACAGGAAAAAGGCAAGGATGTCCACCGCCATCCAAGGATTCTCACCACTCCTATTTAACAATTTATTGCAGGTTCTAGCCAGAGCCTTAAGACAAGAAAATTAAATAAAAGGTATCCAGATTGGAAAGAAGTAAAACTATCTCTATCTGCAGATAATATAACCTCATATATAGGAAATCCCAAGGAATTAACTAAAAACCTCTTAAAACTAATAAATAAGTTTAGCAAGATTGGAAGATACTGAAAGATACATGATCAATTGTATTTCTATACAGTAGCAATTAACAGACCAAAAATAAGAAAAAAAAATTCCACTGACATTAGGATCAAAAATAAAATATCCAGGAATAAGTTTAAGAAATGCAAAACAGGGGCACCTGGGTGGCTCAGCTGGTTAGGTGTCTGCCTTCAGTTTGGGTCATGATCTCAGCGTCCTGGAATCAACCCCCACATCAGGCTCTCTGCTCTGTGGGGAATCTGCCTCATCCTCTCCCTCTGATCCTCCTCCCCACTTGTGCGCACATGCTCTCTCTGTCTCAAATAAGTAAATAAAATCTTTTTTAAAAATTAAAAAAATAAAAAGTGCAAAACAAAATGTTGAAAAAATAAGAGGAGACATAAATAGACAACCCATGTTCATGGTTCAGAAGACTTAATACTAAGATGGCAATTCTCCCCAGATCTATAGATTCAATACAATCACTCCTCAAAATCCCAACTGAATGTTTTGTAGAAACTGACAAACTGATCCTAAAATTCATATGGAAATACAGGGGACTCAGAATAGTCCAAAACACTTAAAAGAACAAATTGGAGGGCTCACTTTTCTTGATCTCAAAACAAAGCTAACAAAGGGCATAGTGCTGGCATAACAATAGATGTATACATTAATGGAATAGAATCAGGAACTCAGAATCCAGAAAAAAACCTTCACATTTATGATCAATTGATTTTTGATAAGGGTGTCAAGACAAGTGAATGAGGAAGGAATAGTTTCTTCAAGAAATGGAGCTGGAAAAACTGGATATCCACGTGCAAAAGAACGAAGCTGAAGCTGTACTGTTACTTCACCATACACAAAAATTAACTCAAAATGAATCCAAGTGCTAAATGTAAAACCTAAAACTATTTAAATTCTTAGAAGAAAAACAGGAGTCAACTTTCATGACTTTGGATCGGCAGAAGTTCCTTGGATGTAACACCAAAGCATAAAGCAACAACAACAAAAATGAGATACACTGGACATAATCAGAATTGAAAAATCTGTGCATCAAAGGACACCATCAATAAAAGTGAAAATAAAATCCACAGAATAGGAACCTTTTTTTTTTTTTTTTTTTGCAAATAACATTTCTAATAAGGGACCTTGTATGTAGAATATATAAAGAACACATATCTTGATAAAAAGAAAAATAACCCAATTTAAAAATGGGTAAAAGATTTGAATAGACATTTCTCCAAAGAGGACCTACAAATGACCAATAAGTACATGAAAAGATCATTAACATCATTAGCCATAAGGGAAATGCAAGTCAAAACCAGATTGCGGGAAGGCTGCCTGGCTGGCTCAGTCAGTCAGTAGATTGTGACTCTTGAGTTGTGAGTTCAAGCCCCACACTGCATATAAAGATTACTTTAAAAAAAACAAAATCTTAAAAAAACACACACATTGAAATATCTCTTCACACCCACTGAATGGCTATAATCAAAAAGATAATAATAGGTGTTAGAGAGAATGTGAAGAAATGTGAAAATAAAATACAAAATGGTATAGCTGCTTTGGAAGCAATCTGGCAGCTCCTCAAAAGGTGAAACAGAGTTACCAGATGACCAAACAATTCCACTCCTAGGTATAAAATTAAATGAAAATATACGTCCACAGAAAAACTTGTACACGGATTTCATAGTAGCGTTTTATAATAGCCAAAAAGTGGAAACAACCCAAATGTCTTTCAACTGATGAACAGACAAGTTCAATGTGCTACACCCACACATTAGCGTAGTATTTGGTAATAAAAGGAGAGGAAGGTCTTTCGCCTCACGGCAATAATGACAGCAAGATAGATCAGTGGCAGTTCTGCTGGGGCTACTTGCAAGAATTCGGCCAGAGTTCCTGATTTCTGCCCCATCAGCTCAAACCCACAGGGCCTGATCCAGAAATACGGCCTCTATAGACGCTGCCAGTTTCCCCATCAGTCCGCAAAGAATATGGGCTTCATCAGGTTTGACTGAGTGAGCTTCCTTGCTTGGACTCTCCAAGACCTCTACCCAATAAAAGGAACAATGCTGGCTCTTTCTACACAATATTTTTTAATCTTTAAAAAGTCCACAATAGCCAAACTGTGGAAAGAGCCAAGATGCCTTTCAACAGACAAATGGATAAAGATGTGGTCCATATACACA